CAAATAAATCAGCTACTTGGAAGATTTTAGCTGAGGGTGCTATGGCGCTTAGACCTATCACAAGGTGGAATATTGCTACAAAAAAGTCATTTAACATTCTTAAAGATGCTTGGATTCTATATAGGAGTCTAGAGAAATGGCCAACATTTGTGGCCATTGAAAATTCTGAATTCCCACTGCTAGAGAGCTTTATATCTGATGGAGGCTGGAATATCAATCTTCTTAATAAAAGCTTTGGGAAAGAACTGGTGAATATCATCATTCAAATTGAAATTTATCCTTCTCAATCCAAGGATAGCATTGAGCTAAAGAAGAGCTTCTTGGGCAAAAGCATTACTGCTTTAGCTTCTTCTTATAAATATGAAAATGACAGAACTGTGGATTATGGAGTCTGGCAAAAGAAATTGAAGCTCAATCCTAGAATTGAATGTTTCTGGTGGTGACATCTCAATGAGGCTATACCAACAAATGAATTCCTGATGTATCGAAGATTAATGGGACATAATACATGTCCTAGAGGATGTGTTGAACAAGAAAATACTGGTCATGTCATGGTACATTGCTTTAAACTGCAGCAAGCGATTGGAATTCTCATAAATTGGGGTTTCCTATGTCCGATGTTCTTCTCTGCCAGTGATTGTAAGTTCCATTTGAATAGGTTATCAGAGGAAAATAGATCAATGGCAAATTTATATTGTTCTACAGTTTATTTTTCATGGAAGAGTAGGAATTTAATAAAGCATGGAAATAATGAATGGAGTGTGAACTTCATTGCCATCAATGCTATTAGTTATGCATCAATTTCTTCTTCCAATCTATTCATGGATCACTAGGATGCTAACCAGCCATCACGGTTGATTTCTTATTGGCACCCTCCTCCCCCAGAATGGATAAAAGTAAATCTTGATGCTGCTTTATCTAGTAACAATAATGGAGGTATAGGTTGAGTTTTTAGAGACTCTAAAGGCAGATTTTTACTTTCTTTTGGAATCAAATGCACACATTGGGATATTTTTACTTTGGAGCTTATGGCCATCCGTTCTTTAAAGAATTTCATCCTAAATTGGATGCTGGATGCAAAAGGTCTAATTATAGAAGGAGATAATTTCAACATTATCAAACTTCTACAAAGATCAAAGAATAAAGGATCTCGGCTTGTTCTTGAAGAAGAGATTGAAGACCTATCATATTTGGATGGATTCGGTAACATTCTTTTCCACTTTGTTAATAGAAATTGTAATAAGTTAGCACACAATTGTGCTAACCTTGCTTTACTTGAAGATTTTCTTTGGGAAGATCTTAGTAATAATAAGGTTCCTCCTTTTTTTAATGTTCTAAAGGAGGAATGTGATAGGATTTCTATCAATTAGTAGTTGTATTTCGTTTTTTTTTTTTTTTTTTTTTTTTTTTTTTTTTTTTGAAGAAATGCTAAAAATAGCATTAAAGAAAAGAACAAGCCACCAAACTACAAATCAGAGTAATCCTAAAGCATCACATTTCTCCTTCAAGCAATACAAGAAAGAAGGAGGAATGGAAATATCTTGAAGATTTTCCCAAACAAAAGATCCTTCAAGAGCCAAATTAGCACAAATATCAACTAATTTGTTCCCATTCCTAAAAGAATGAGAAAAAAGAACTTGTTTAAAATCAGTCAAGAAAGATAAATTTTCATCAATTTGCCTACTAACCTTCCAACCTTTTATCGAACTCTTTAAATTGTTGTATTTCGTTAGCTTCTTTATTTTAATGCAAATTAGAATTTCCTTCAAAAAAAAAAAAACTTCTCGAATTTAATCTCAAAATTTTAATTAATGTCATCTTAAAATAACTCTCCTTTTCTTCAAAATTGAAAGAACACTATAGGATAGATTGAGGCATTTCTGAACTTGTCTCAGAATATTAAAATGCATTATACTTCTCATCCATTGGCCTCTAAAATAAGTGCTTAAAAATTTAACTCAATCCCATTTTAAATTCCAACATCCCTCCCTTAATACCATTCTTTGAAGATCCAAAACAAAATTTCTACCATTATTCTAATTGAGAGTATTCATAGGAAGTTCAAAATTTCTACGGTGTTATTAACTATGAAAACTTGCCTTTGTATGAGATTTAAGACCCAAGATAAAATCAATCCCTTCCCATTTAGTTTCTAAATAGTATGGAAAAAGAAAAACTATTCTTTGGTAAAATTAAATTTAAATAAAAATGATCATTATCATCATATTCAAATGGTTAGAATAAATGATATTTTCTTTCTTTGGGAAGATATATCATTTATTGTTAAGAATTTGATTATGAAATTAATGATAATACATCTAGAATATCTTATCCAAATACATGATCAAAGAACATTTTGACTCTTCGGGATCATATGAAGTTCCCTCTTGAATTTGACAATGACAGTTGGGATGAAAATTATAATTTTGTAATCTGAACCCATTAAAAGAAATTTTTTTTGCCTCCTGAGGTAATATATCATTCATAATGATATATTCAATTCAAAATTAAAATCCTAAAGCGATCATGTGTACATCTAACTTTTTTGATAAATATAATTACAATTAAACTGTACATTTTCCAAAAAAAAAAAAAAATGTAAACATTGTCGTACCATGTTATGTATGTTGCATATAACCATTCTCATGTATCATGTGTATCATGTAACAATATTTATGTTAGTATAATTATACATCATATTTATATATCATGCCATGTTTCACGTTGCTTATACATGTTCATGTTATTTCCAATCTTATATCATGTATGCACTTACACATTCATAATAATGCAAGTCAGGACTTCTTGCTAATCATATAGTATTTTTTTGCATTTAATATATATATATATATATATATTATATATAATATAGTATGTTTTTTGCATCTGTTATATCTTGTCATAATCATATCATGTTCATGTATCGTGGCTATTGTTATAAGAGTCGTCACTCTAAGCCTATTGAAATATCTTATCCATTTATAACTGCCTATCTTAATATATTGTTCTATCTGATAGGATTACACCGTTAAAACCATTCTTAAAGGGAAAGCATGTCAGCTCACCCTCTTGTACAATGTTTTCTTGCTCCAGTAGTCGAATAAAACTTGCTAGCTTCCTTACCTCACACACCAATGTCAAAGTAATGTATAAATATGTGAAAATCAAATGCATTTCGCTACCAGTGGCAGTTACATAAATTATGTCATGATATTGTTTAGGTGAACTATATATATGTATTGCCATTGCTAAGCTTTATTCTTCCAATTTAATGAAATTACACATGCAATTCTACCCATTAAAAATGATATTGATCATGCAAAATGTCCAAAATAATCAATATCTATATTATATAAAAGTTTATATAGCAAAAAGCTTCATTAATTAGAAGGACAATTGAATTTTAATCAAAATTTGGGGAAGATTGAAAATTAATTTAAAATATTGGAAAAAAAAATAGAATTCAAGTTAACCCATAATTGTTAATAACTTTACAACTGGAATGGATTGATAGGGAAAGCTCTAGAGGTAAAGTTATATTTCCTTTCTTCTCTTCTCCTCTCTTCTCCCTCTCCTTACCTGGGCCCAAAGGAACCTAAATGGGATTGAGGGGAATTAAATGACTTAGGTAACTTAAATAAGATTGTGGATTTGTATGATTTAAGAAAATGATCTTTAAGGCCAGCGTCGACACATTTTCTCAAAACGATCAACACGCAGTTGCTGCCCGTTAATTACTTCAAAACCCGAGAAAGCAACCAACCATCGGTCGGCAAGCATAGAGTCCGCAATGTCCCTAAGGGCGGAACTATTTAGCGTGACTTAGGGGGGGCAATTGGCCCCCCTAAAAAAAAATTAGTAAGAAGTGAAATTTTTTTTTCCCAAATTTTTTTTGCCCTCAAATATGTTTTTTTTTGGCCCCCCTAATAAATTCTTTTGTCCTCTTTTGTCCTAACTTGTCCTAAAATATCTATATATTTCTTCACATTTAGTTCTAATATTCTCTTTCATGCTTTTAATAACAGTTTAATTACACATTTTTTCTTTATTTTTCTTGCTTAATTTTTTTAAAAACATTTCGTAATGTATAGATATATAATATAATTTTTTTAATATTTAATTATTTTTGTGTTGTATTTTTGTCCCCCTTCAAAATTAAAGCCAGTTCCGCCCCTGAATGCTCCCACATAGATTTTCATACATGCAGGAATTTTAATGCATGTTATTTAGAGGTCATTAATGAGTATGTAGAAATTAGAGTCATAACAGTTGGGCCTTCACATTAATATGAACTCATCTACGAGGGATCCCACAGGTATTGAATCATTCTCACACCGTAGATTCCATACCATTGCTTGTCATGCAATGATGTTACATAGAGATTGTGAAAGCATGATTCTTGGCATTCTTGATTGGATGATCTAGGATTAATTCAAAATCATTTATTTTTGTAGATATGAATCAGCTGTATTATTTTTGGACTTTTATCTATAATTGATGATGTTGTTTATATTACATTTGTACTTATTAGTATATTAAGGGCACTTAGTAGAGGAACTACGATTTTTACAAAAAGGTGGACGGTATAACTTTCATATTATATATAATTATATCTAGTTTTTTTTTTTCAAAAATCTCCACCAACTTCTCGTTGATTCAACCACAGAGCCTTGTTAAGCTCTTATGATTATCTTACAATCTTTGAAAAATATTTTTTATTCTTTTTTAATTAAAAATTTTATGTTAACAATTTTATTTTTAAAAATAATTAAGTGTTCTTGCTTCTTTTAAGTTTAAAGATTATTTTTTGTAGATAAGTTTATCTGATGCCAAATTTCATTAAATTCTTAAGTATTACTTCTAGATTTATCTGTTGAAGTGAGCACTGTATTACCGATAGCTTCGTTACGCCGTTATCGTTTTCGAGCATACGCTTCGACTAAATTTTTTGATAAAATTTCGCACTGGCATGCAACAATCAAAATTGGAAAACTACGAACAACTAAAATTGCACATTTTCTGATTTTCACTCTACGAATACATATATAAATGATGCAACAATACAAAATCTGGTGATGGAAAATAATCAGAAGAAAAAAATTACGAAAACTCACAAGCCTTCACATCACAACTAGACCAATCTCATAAATGACTCCAAATATTTCTCTTTTTTGCCACAGTAATCAGAGATGCAACCAGAAGAAGCTTCCTATAACAATTGACAGAATCCACATTTCACTTATGATCCAGTGTAATCTGAAACCAGAAGAGGCATCTACAGCATCTTTAGGACTTGCTGTAGGCTCATCAGCTGCGGCTGTAGGCTTCTTCTTTACTTTGGAAGATGCAGGTCCTGGAGCTGGAGCTGGAGCTGCCGATCCAAAGATTGCCAGTGGCAGAAGAACCCTATCAACCTGGTAAACTGCAAGCTTGCTATCTGAATACAGTGAATTTGACACTGTAGTGTTAACTACTCCTGTAGAGATATTTACTTGATTTCCTGCACTTGTGACATTAAGTGGGAATTGGCCATTATTAGTATTTCCAGCTTGTGTTCTGAGAGGATTACTGACAGTTTGGAATTGTGACATGGTTATGAGAGTAGGAATGACATGAAACTGGATTAATGAGACTTTCTGCTGATCTGTGAGGGAGTTCAGTGTGCCAGGAGGAAGGCTCGAAAAGGCATTATCAGTTGGCGCAAATATTGTTATTCCAGTGTTTGAATTGTTGAGCTGATTGTTGATTTGGTCAGCTATTTGAGTGCTTTTCATCAGCCTTATCAGTGTATTGAACTGCCCAGCCTTCTCCAATACAGCAGTAATGTTCAATGGGCCTGCTGGGGCTGGAGCTGTTGTAGTCTGCGCTATGCTTGTGGTGATAGAGTGAAGGAGAAAGAGGAAGGTAATGGCTAGGAAGGAGAAACTTTCCATGGCTACAGATGAGAGGAGCCTGAAGCTGCACTCTTATCTTATGAATGTTTGATTGTAAGCTTTAGGAGGTTTTTTATGGAGTGAAGGAAGCTTTTGGTGGGCGGTGGGTGATGGAATGGGTCTCAACACCTAACGGTAATAATTGGGACCAGCTAGATTGCTTGGCATGGTTGCAAATATAGTCGGGTGTAGCTTTACATCATTGAGATGATGGCAAGTTCAGAGATTTCTTATATGGGGCTTCATTGGTGCTTGTCTTGCACTCTATGATTTTTACGTATTTTTCATTTCTCATAAAAATGATATTTCCTTTTTGCAAATGTGAAATATTGTTAATATTACTGATATGTTGTGAAAAGTAGACTTGAGTGGGCACAAATCTTGATGCAATTTCAATTGGAAACTTCTAAAATTAATACCAAGATCATCTGAGCTCGAATTTCAACAAACGTATAGTTAAACAAATCATATTGACGAAATGAACTCAGGGGAACCAAAAGTGATCCGATCTAAATTCAAATGAGCTTAAATCAAGCACTTGAAGCACAATAGGAAACTTTAGCATACTAATTTACGAATTGAATGATATCCAAATCTCACATGCTTATAGTAAAATTCAACATCTAGACAAGCTAAAGTGAATGAGTTCAAAATCATCTAATTTTAACACTTTAAGGAACTTAAATGCCAAAAGAATGGTTATGATCAAGGCAATCAATATGGCCCAATCAATGCAATTTTTTTTTCTTAATATCTACAAGTCATGCCACTCACAAAAATCCATAAATACGCCCACATTCTCTAATGAATGGGGCTCGAACCTTAGCTTGAGACTCTAGAGAGCTCAAAAGGCTTGTAGAATATCGATGCCAAACTTGAGCACCATTGTTGGGCAATCAGTCAATCGTCGCCAGCAAATCGTCGCTTGAGCCCCACCATCAGACCACTGCCTGAGTGCTGAATTTGAACCATTTCTAACTAACATCATTAGACAAGTATTTCCCGACTATAGTCCAATGACCATTGTCACCTAACTGTGATCCTCCAAACATTGGACCTCAACTATGATCCTCTGAACATTGGACCTCAACTATGATCCTCTAACACTACAGGAAAACCCGTCATTACCGGCGGACTAAATCCGCCGGAACACATAGATAATCCGACAGAACTATAAGTTTCTGGCGCATGTTTCGGCGGAAATGCATACACCGATTTTGATCGCATCGATAAATTTTTTCCGACGAATGTAATGCACCGGAAAACTTTCTGGCGCACTTCCCGACGCATTACCAGCGTAAAACATAGGATTGGTGCATACGACTTACAACCGATAAATTGCGGCGCCGGTAAGTTTCTGTCGGATTTTTCGCAGGTAAGTACCGGCGGACAAAACGCCGCAAGGTCGCCGTAGACAACCCACGGCTTTGTTTGCGGCGCAAAGTTGTTGCCGGAAATAAGCGGCGGAAATCACGCCGGAACATGCGCCGGTAGTTGCCGACGGAAGGAATATGTCGATACGTCTGATACAATTCGTTGTATCGTTCATTCCGGCGGATTTCCGGCGTACAATCAGCCGGAAACCAGTAGCATTGACAAAAAAAATTTCCTTCCCAGCCAACAATCAAATTTTCACACCTGCAAACTTATACAAATATCAATTCCACAACATTTCAATAGTAACATTTCAACAGATCAACATTTTATAACAAATTCACAACAGCTTCACAACAGTTTATAACATTAAAAGAATCTGTTCAATAGTAATAATCAACAAAAAACATCAGATTAAAAGAAACTGTTCAATAACACATGTTCATAGAAATAAACAAGTTCATGTAAACTAAATTAAACTACTCTGACTCCGTGGACTCCTCCTCAGGTGGAGCTACGTCTTTTCCACTCAGAGTGTTAACTCCCCCATTATGCTTATTTTAACACATGTTCACAGAAGGGCACTTATTTGTTGAGCTTGTAAGGAGTCATGAGAACTGGATGCGAAGCTGGATGCAGTCGAATACATATATAAATGATGCAACAATACAAAATCTGGTGATGGAAAATAATCAGAAGAAAAAAATTACGAAAACTCACAAGCCTTCACATCACAACTAGACCAATCTCATAAATGACTCCAAATATTTCTCTTTTTTGCCACAGTAATCAGAGATGCAACCAGAAGAAGCTTCCTATAACAATTGACAGAATCCACATTTCACTTATGATCCAGTGTAATCTGAAACCAGAAGAGGCATCTACAGCATCTTTAGGACTTGCTGTAGGCTCATCAGCTGCGGCTGTAGGCTTCTTCTTTACTTTGGAAGATGCAGGTCCTGGAGCTGGAGCTGGAGCTGCCGATCCAAAGATTGCCAGTGGCAGAAGAACCTTATCAACCTGGTAAACTGCAAGCTTGTTATCTGAATACAGTGAATTAGACACTGTAGTGTTAACTACTCCTGTAGAGATATTTACTTGATTTCCTGCACTTGTGACATTAAGTGGGAATTGGCCATTATCAGTATTTCCAGCTTGTGTTCTGAGAGGATTACTGACAGTTTGGAATTGTGACATGGTTATGAGAGTAGGAATGACATGAAACTGGATTAATGAGACTTTCTGCTGATCTGTGAGGGAGTTCAGTGTGCCAGGAGGAAGGCTCGAAAAGGCATTATCAGTTGGCGCAAATATTGTTATTCCAGTGTTTGAATTGTTGAGCTGATTGTTGATTTGGTCAGCTATTTGAGTGCTTTTCATCAGCCTTATCAGTGTATTGAACTGCCCAGCCTTCTCCAATACAGCAGTAACGTTCAATGGGCCTGCTGGGGCTGGAGCTGTTGTAGTCTGCGCTATGCTTGTGGTGGTAGAGTGAAGGAGAAAGAGGAAGGTAATGGCTAGGAAGGAGAAACTTTCCATGGCTACAGATGAGAGGAGCCTGAAGCTGCACTCTTATCTTATGAATGTTTGATTGTAAGCTTTAGGAGGTTTTTTATGGAGTGAAGGAAGCTTTTGGTGGGCGGTGGGTGATGGAATGGGTCTCAACACCTAACGGTAATAATTGGGACCAGCTAGATTGCTTGGCATGGTTGCAAATATAGTCGGGTGTAGCTTTACATCATTGAGATGATGGCAAGTTCAGAGATTTTTTATATGGGGCTTCATTGGTGCTTGTCTTGCACTCTATGATTTTTACGTATTTTTCATTTCTCATAACCATGATATTTCCTGTTTGCAAATGTGAAATATTGTTAATATTACTGATATGTTGTGAAAAGTAGACTTGAGTGGGCACAAATCTTGATGCAATTTCAATTGGAAACTTCTAAAATTAATTTCAAGATCATCTAAGCTTGAATTTCAACAGACGTATAGTTAAACAAATCATATTGACGAAATGAAATTAGGGGGAACCAAAAGTGGTCCGATCTAAATTTGAATGAGCTTAAATCAAGCACTTGAAGCACAATAGGAAACGTTAGCATACTAATTTACGAATTAAATGATATCCAAATCTCACATGCTTATAGTAAAATTCAACATCTAGACAAGCTAAATCGAATGAGTTCAAAATCATCTAATTTTAATACTTTAAGGAACTTAAATGCAAAAAGAATGGTTATGATCAAGGCAATCAATATGGCCCAATCAATGCAATTTTTCATATTTTCTTTATATCTACAAGTCATGCCACTCAAAAAAATCCATATATAGGCCCACATTCTCTATATGAATGGGGCTCGGACCTTAGCTTGAGACTCCAGAGAGCTCAAAGGCTTGTAGAATATCGATGCTAAACTTGAGCACCATTGTTGGGAAATCAGTCAATCGTCGCCAGCAAACCATAGCTTGAGCCCCACCATCAGACCACTGCCTGAGTGCTGACTTTGAACCATTTCTAACTAACATCATTAGACAAGTATTTCCCGACTATAGTCCAATGACCACTATCACCTAACTATGATCCTCCAAACATTGGACCTCAACTATGATCCTCTAAACATTGGACCTCAACTATCCTCCAAACATTGTCCCTCAACTATGAACCTTTGACCACCATCACTAGACCATGATCTCTCAATGACCATCAACCAATTTAGTCTTCTGACCACCATCAACTGATTATAGTCCTTTGACCACTATCATTGACTATAATATCTTGAACACTAACACTCGAATTTGATTGTCCAATCAGTGTCACATGCCTACTGTCCTCTAACCACCATTGCCCTCCTAAAATCCTCCAACCAAAATTGTTCAACTATAATCCTTCAACCATTTGTTACTTGACTTTAATCCTATGACTATTTCCAAACTATAGTCCTCTGACCACCGTTAATTAACTATGTCTAAAATCATCTGATAAAAAATGGTCAATAATTGTCTCTCGACCACCATTTACTAACTTCAGTCTTCCAACCACTGCAACCTGGCTATGTTCCTTGAACTATTATCTTCCAACCACAATTCTCCAACCATTATCATCCAACTATGATCCACTAATCACTGTCGACTAACTATGAACCTCTAACTACTATCACTCAAATGCAGTTTCTCAATCAACATTAGTTTATACTTCAAGCATTATTATCCAACTATAGTCCTCTGAGTACTATTATCGCCCTAATACAATTCTCTAATCATTATCAACTGATTATGATTCTCTAACCACTGTCACTCGACCATCCGCCTGACTATGATCTCTCAACCACTATTGTTCAGCTTTGATCCTCCTATCAATATAACTTGACTGTAGTCCTCATACTATCTTTTTCTGACTACAATCCTTAGAACAATATTGTCTGACTATTTTATTTTCTCCATCGCCACCCAATGATGTTCCTCTAACCACCATTGCCTAAATATGGTCCTCCAACCATCATTATCTAGCTATGATCATTCGACCGTCATCACCCAACTTTAGTACTTGTACTATAATTGCTCGACTATGATCTTCTAACTATTGTTGCCTAACTTGTACCTCAACTATACTAACCCCTGACAATTTTATTTCCAGTCATTCATAGTAATGTCAACACATGTCATTGCCTATAAGATTGTTGCACATTATCTAAATTAACTTTGACTTATAACATCATCAATAATATTCATATTAGAATTTATAGTAATTAATTTTCTCTTCTTAAAGGTGACAACAAACAATCTCTTGAAGATACCTCCCATTACATAGAGTCCTTTTAATTTTTACCACAAAATTCCTTTTATACAATTTTTATTTG